CCTGTTTATCAGAGGGTAGAGCGACCTGATCAAGATGTTACACTTGGTGGATGTCTTGTCCACATGGGATCGGAATAGCAATTTGCTATCGAGGGTGAGACCAAGGTAGACTACTTCACTCGACCATTCAATGGGAGTGCTATCAAGATGGATCTTGACGTTAGCAGGCGGAACAAGCCGAGGTGAATACGAATGTGGAAACAGAATGGTTTGTGTTTTAGCTGCATTGATACAAATCTTCCAGCTCTTAAAATAGTCGGACAAAACATCCAGGCCTGATTGTAGTTTACTCGCCAGAGCACGGATCACTCGACCCTTATAGATGATGGAGGTGTCATCTGCGAACATTGACAGGATACCACCACCCGGCAGGGGAGGAACGTCTGACGTGAAAATGTTGAATAGGATAGGCCCAAGCAGGCTACCTTGAGGGACCCCTGCATCAACGTTGAACGTATCAGAGGAGACATTGTTCAAGTAGACCTGGAATGATCTGCCCGACAAGTAGTTTTTGATGATCTTCACGAGGTAGTTTGGAAAGTTGTATCGATGCAGCTTGTACACGCCTTCTCGACGTCCAACAATGCCATGGCAGATGTATTGGAAACGGACTTGTTCCGCTTGATGATGTTAGTAACCCGTGCGAGTTGGTGGATGGTAGAGTGGCCTTTCCTAAACCCGAATTGCTCTTTGAGAAAGATGTTATTATCATTTGAAAACACCAGCAGACGGCTGAGTATCAATTTTTCGAATAGCTTCGAGATGGAGGACAAGAGGCTGATGGGGCGATAGCTTTTGGCACTGGTAGGGTCTTTGCCAGGTTTGTGAATTGGAGTAACTTTGGCTAACTTCCAGCATGCAGGGAAGTAGCCAAGCATTAAACACTTGTTGAAGACCACTGCAAGGTGCTTGAAGAAGTCAACACTCAAGTTTTTCAGCTCGAGGTTGACCACTCCATCGACACCAGCGGCCTTCATGTTCTTTGTTGATTTAATCGCTGCTATCACCTCATCAGCCGATATTCTACTTTCGTCAGGGACAACTACGGGGGTGGCAGCGACACTAGCCATTGCCTGTGATACTGCAGGCTCGTGGGGACTCACCATGGCGTGGCCAAGGTTATGTGAATTTACAAAGTGTTGTCCAAGAGCATTGGCCTTTTTAAATGGGGTTATTAGTAAAGATGGGTCCGAATTTTGGTTAGGAGAGGAAACGGGAGGAATGGGCCTCGGCTTATTTTTCAAAATCTTTGCCATTTTCCAGAATGGCTTAGCACAATCTGGGAGAGAGCGAATCTTGTTTGCAAAATCGATATTTCTGAGATCCACCATCCTGGCTTGGATGATTTTGTTCAAACGGTTGCAATTGGTCTTCAGGTTAGGCACCCCAGTACGCTGGTACTGCCTACGAATCTTGTTGCGGAGTCTAATGAGGTCTTTAGTAGGCCTGTCAAGGTTTAAAGTATAACTCACCTGTCTGGATACTGGCACATGTAGCTCCCTGGCCCGGGAAATTGCTTGATCGATGGAGCGCAGACACCGGTCAACATCTTCGGACGATTCCGGTTGGACATCGTAGTCTACAGCTGTGTCGACGCAATGTTGGAACTGACCCCAGTCAACACGATGATAGTTGCGCCGGAAAGCTTCAAATCGATTTACGGAGGATCCCACCTCAGTCACCACCGGGTAGTGGTCCGAGCTGAGTTCCTGATAGGTGATAGGTTGAGCGATGTTGTTGCCCATGTTGCTGATGAATATATCGATGGTAGCGTGAACACCGGACCGACTCAACCGGGTGGGAGTTTCCGGACTCAAGATGTTGTACTGCGCTTCCTGCAGGTCGTTGTTCAGGATGGTGCCGTTTTGATTGCGCCGATTGTTGCCCCAAGCTTGATGTTTGGCGTTCAGGTCACCAGCGATGATAAAGTTTTCCCGTCGTCGTGTTAGCTTGATAATATCTCGTCGCATATCTGCTGCCGATCCGTCCCTGCTGTTGACTTGTTTGGGGCAGTAAACCGCGACGATGGTGATGGGGCCGATAGGAGTAGAAACTTCCACCCCTACGGCTTCGATGATCTTCAGCTGAAAGCTGGGCATCAGTCGACAGCAGATGTTTCTCCTTATTGCAATAGCCACTCCTCCTCCTCCAGAGTTGGTTCGATCTAGCCTCACGAGCCGGAAATCGGGAAGGTAGACGTTTGTTTCAGGCTTCAGGTGGGTTTCAGTTATGATGGCAATGTCGATGTTTCGTTCATTGAGAAACTCAACAAACTCGATGTTTTTGCTCTTCAAGGAGCAAGCGTTCCAATTTACGATCTTGATGGCTTCACGGTCCATACTTAGTGACAAGGGACAGGGCAGCATGTAGCTGTTCAGATCGAGTCTTGCAGGTGCGCAAGATGATGATGACCTCGGCCACGAGCGTCACAAGTTCCTCCGAGGTGAACGGAGAATCGTCGACAGGCTCACCTGAGACAGCACCAGCGTATGATAAACCAGGGGCGGTGCACGGACCTGGCATTGGCTGGGCAGCAGCAGCAGCGAGACGATGCTGGACTGTTCGATTGTTAGGAATACTCACATGCTTGACTTGTTGGTTGTTGAGCGGAAGTGGTTCTAAGTTCGGAACATGTCGACGGGGCTGGAGAGCTGGGTACTGGACTTCCGTGCGTGCAGGAGGCGAACGATGATTACGGAGGCGACCGGGCTGATTATTGATCGTAGCCTTCCGACGGATATTGATGAACTCCACTCGCTTGGGACATCCGCGATTGGAGGCTTGGTGGTTACCACCGCAGTTGACACACGTTGGCTCGATGTCATCATCTTGCTCACAGGACGCAGTCGAGTGAGTTCCAGCACACTTGCCGCAGATAGTCTTCATATGGCAGTTTTTGGTGCCATGGCCGTAGGAGAGGCAGTTCATACACTGCGTAACATCACGATGTTGGGATTTGTAATGTTCCCAACTGATGATGACCTGAAACAGGTCCCGGATTTTGGATCTCAGAGCCGCTAGACTGGTGGATCCCTTCGTGAAGTGCACCAGGAACAACTGGTCACGGAAGCTGGTGTTGTGGTTGGAACGCCGGTTTATTGGGAACACTGCCTCAGGTTTGAGCCCAAGCCGCTCCAGCTCGGATTTAACCACAGCCGCCTCGAACGACGGTAATCCACGCAATACCAGCTTCAGTGGCTTGCTCGATGGCAGATCGTGCGTGAAGAAGTCAACGTTGTTTTCCTTTAGGAAACATCCTGTTTGATTGTACTCCTCCAGGCTGGAGCACATGATTTTGGTGCCGATGCTGCAAAGCTTGAAGCGAGGCAGCAGCTTGTGTTTTGCCAGTTCGGCACGCAGCTTGGCAACATCCTTCTCCGGCGTGAAAAGCGGGGGAATCCGCTCTCTTGCAGCGATGGGAACGACGTCACCATCGCCATTTTCTTCGGGGAGCACCGCAAACTGGTTGGCTTGCAGTACCCGTTTTCCGGCGTCATCCTGCGACGCGCAGTGCTGGATTACCACCTTCTTAGCATCGAAAGGTGGAATTTATTTAGATGCGGTATCTATAAAATCCAGCTTCGCGTTGTTGCTGTCTCGTCTAGTCGGAGGGAAAGCAGGATCAGAATCGTCGTCGACCGTCCTCAATCACCACCGAATTCCTGGAATGGTGGCCGAATTCGAGTTCTTCGCGAACTGATTACCACTTCGACGATGTATTTCAAGCTTGTCTACAATTCTGTTCTCATCAGTTGTTTAAGTTGTTTTCCAGATCCAAATCCTATTTTGTAAACAACGGTTGAACGTCGGCGATGGCGATTTTCCTCACCGTCGATCCTTGTTGCTGACGATTTCCAGCGACGGTGCGGTGGGTTTCCCGACGCAGGATAATAGGTGGTGTTTGTTAATAATAGATCCTTTCACTATCATCGACGATGGTGATCGAGCTCTTTGATGTAGTTTCAGGATGGCGGTGAGTCCTTTTTATAGCATACGAGGCTCTCGGTTTGGTGCTCGTACGATGGCGCACTTTGATCGTACCTTGGTCAAGTCGTCGAGATTTGGCCGATCTATAATGCAAATATTGACAGAGCTGCAGCGAAAATGGGGAGACGATCAGTGAGAAAGTAGAGAAGAGCAGTGGCTGAGCATAGAATCCGAAACCAAAGTGGCTCCAATGGGACCCAAGCTAGAGACGAGTAAGATTGTTTTGCGGAGGGGCACCCGCGCCTGCTTCCTTAAAAAAATATAAACAAACAGCCATACACAACTGCACATTTCAAGCAACCCCTTCTCCGTAAAATCTACGCACCACTCTGTTAAGCTCCATCGTATTCAAACCATACATCCAGTAAAAACGAACGATCGCTAATTAAAAGTGAATGATTCCAATCTTGATCACTGCGCTTGCTCATAGCTAGGTACCGATCCTGCCACCTTCCTGCGAGAGATTGGATGCTGCTCTCTTTCCACTGCTTATGCGGTCGTCAGCGTCATCGTTGCCATCTTTTCAGTTGGTAGCAGCTAGGAGAAATCTTCCTAATCACCCGCAAGATTCGCATTGCTCGGATTGAGATCGACCGGCGGAGATATGGTAATAAATTAGTGGAATTGCGCGCTCAGATAGGTGCTTAAGATTGTCGACTGCCAGCATTCCCGGGGTGTCAAAGTAATACATGGCGAGCGTTGATAGATCTTGCGCCGTGTGCTGCGCGCGTAACATAAATCCATTCATCGCAGTTGTAGGTCGTGAATACCGGATCAAAGCATCAAAACCTATTTCGGTTCATTATCACCTTCCATTTGGGAGCTTACGACTGTTGAAAATTTGACGCCACATCTGTGGATGCTCTAATTTAATTAGACACAATCTTCAGAACCGTTAGGTCTCAATTGTCTTTCGTACGTACGGTTGATGAAATGGAATTTTTTCAGTTCGCTCGTGAAGTTGGAGTAAGAAAGTCCTATCATGATCAAGAACAACACATTTGGAAGACAAAATGAAATCGTCAACTGCGTGTGTGATTTTGGTCGTGATTATCGCACAGTGCGCCAACGGAGAGAGTCATAATGGCACTGAAATTGGATCCAATGAACCTCATCTGCAGCGATCCAAACGTACGCTTTATTTTCCCTACGAAACGTGTATGGGTGTAAGTCTGTTGCAAAGCCTTTGCTGATGAGAAATGTGGCACTTGATGAGTTGTGGATCATTTCAGATCATTGCGGCCATTGCTGTCCCATTGGCGGTCCCGGATAGGAATATCTTCATGTCTTACAATTTCGAATCCAACTACAACGATCCAACGCAATCGAACGTGTTCACCGAGGGATTCTTCAACTTTGTAAGTTCTGCGGATTTGAGCAGGTTTTGTTTTTGCAGGGTTAGATTGGTTGAAATGTGGTAGACGAAATGTATTCCCAGCAGATTCAAGGTTCACAGTGCAACTCAGTTCTGCTATTCTTATAATTTTTATCCTTAGATTAGAGGCGTAGGACTTCCCCTGGAGTCTCCCCTTATTCAAATTCATCGTTCCTTGGATGGCGACCCGGAAGTGCTCGAGTCCCCTACCACCGAGCAAATCGAAAGCGAGTCGCAAAAGCTGCCTTCGGAAAATCTACTTGCTGCTCTAGCACACTACTCTCAAGGCTACACGCGCAAGAAGGCCTACCGGGCAATTGAGAGTCATTTGATTAGGTATTTTGCGGATTTTGCGGTACAAGGCTAAGATTGATGCAACCTTTTCCGTTTCCAGGAGCGGCTTTGACGGGAAAAAGTGTCTTCTGAGAGCGATTTGCGAAGCATCGGAAACTCCAATGACTGAGAATAATGGAGTGCTCGGTGATATTGTGCACATCATTCTGAGGTTTGTTTGAAAATATTTGCCGAGAAATTTAAGTTTCTATAGCAGTTCAATCCTTTTCCGCCAACAGCCCATCGACATCGGAAAACGAAGGTCTTCCGCCGGAGTTCTACAAAGCGGAAAAACTCGGGCAGGAAGGTCGATGCCAAAAGTATCGCAAGCACTGCCAAAAGAGCCCCCTAGATGTGATAAGTTTCATGCTGTAGTAATCTGATCATCCGTTAAATAGATAACATTGAAACCAACGTTAGACAGCCAGTGGCTCATTAAGTTGTTTTCCAATCGTAAAAGGTGCCGTAAATGGGGCAGATAATGCCCCACTGAGCTGGGGCCTTTGCTCATTTTTGGGTATAACGAGATATGTATCCATGGGTGCCAGAAGCATAGCACAAACATTGTAGGGCAGTGCATAAGAAGTACGCATATATATAAAAAAAAAGTTATGCTCCCCGCCATGGTCATCGCCGTTCGTCATCAGTCAACACGGGGGCTGCCTGCCTTTGGTGGATCGTAAAAGTGAGAATTATCAATTAATTCCCCTCCTGATGAAAACATTGAGCTGAACTGGACAGGAGATGAGATTATGTGTCAAACGCATAGTAGAGCAGAGCTGAGACCTTTTTCGGAATTTGCCCCCGGGTGGGTGACGACAACGTGACGGCCCCGAGTTGGTGGTGCGTAAGTTGCGTTGGTAATTAGAAAATTCACACACATTGAGCCTGTCACGATGGATGTTGTAATCGAGTTGGCGTCGGATGGATGTGTGAATGGCTTTCTTAGTTTGTTAATCTTGTTTTTCCCTAAACAGCGCTGGACAATTGTGGAGAATCTGTGAATTTATACTTATGAGCGTGTGCAATTAGCACTTCATGAATATAGAACAACGTTTCTCTCGAAAATGTCACTCTGTTGGCAGAAACGTCATCCAGCAACATTTTGCTTGAAGTTGTTGGTTCTTTGGCTCGATTATCTGTCAATCTAAGACATCTGATGCAAATATTGAGAAATTATGCTCCCTGAACATAGATGTTTGATTTGTTGCGTGGCAAAATAATCGTGATAAATGTTCAACAAGCGCGTACATGTAGGAATCAAATTATATTATTATTTTAGATTAGGCAAGCTTATCATGAAAAATTCAAGTTACATTAACGATTATTCACATAAGATTTTTTTTAACGCATACGTGTCAGATAAACATAGCTAAAACTGTAGACTACAGTGCTGACTACACCAATGGTAGTGGCTTCAACAACAAACCATTGGTGCTGTCCAGCGTTTCAGCTTGTCAGTGAGGGTCGGTAGGTAACTGTCCAGTCATGTATTTCACTGGCATCTTCGGATGAATCCTTGCTCCACTCAGGCGTCATGAAATATCGTAGAGAAAGCGGATATCGCCAGTTTTCGTGGTTTTCTCCCCTTCGTCTGCCAGGGAGTCTACCCAGCCAACAATTTTGTCCACATTACTGAATTGTTACTCTGCTATGTGAATCTTTTTTTTGGTAAAAATAAATCGTATAAACTGCATAGAATTCAACTATACGTACAAATCTGGAGGGCATATACGTGCATATAGAAAAATACTTCTACATTGTATGATTTCATATCATTCAATAGGGTACTTTATACAACTCCATGTATAACTTTATCTTGCATCTAATATGATTTTGTATATGCCAATATCTTATTTAAAATGTTATTTGTATGATTTTCAAATTACATCTCTAAACTATGGCAGACCAAAAAGCAAAAAGCATGAAAAATACCTTTTAAATGAACCTTCAATTTTCTATAGTTGGTTCGAATAAAAGTTGGAAATTGAAATATAATGATTTATCTTTTAAAATTATGAACATATTTGAAGCTTAAAGTCAATATTACCTGCAATACCTAGTTTTAAACCAAAGATCTTTAGCTCTGTAGTCCTGCTACGATCCTCGCTGGTATATGAGCACGTATATTCGGAGCAATAAATTTAAAATTTTATGCCTCACTTGTATACGTGATTCAATCTTATCAGATTTGGTGTATTATACTTTCCTATATATATGATATCATTCCTCCTCTAGCATTACACAATCTTGTTTTGCATGATATATGACTTATTATCTTTTATAATTACAACTGTACATTAATGTGATTCGTAATAAACTATTTTAATTTGCAACAAACATGGTTCCCAGAGAAACAGCAATGAGTACAAATTTGGGTTTGGTATGAAGTGCTCGTAATACTTGGAAGGTAGGTAATATTTGAGCAGAGCTACACCTACATAGTTTTGAGAAATTATGTATTCCAAACCCATCCAAACAGATATGTGGTCCAATGAGCGCACTTCTTCTTCTTCTTCGCATTTCAAGCTTATTGCATATCGCACATTAGCTTATTGCGTGCTCTTAACTTAGTGTTCTAGATGCACTTCCACAGTTATTAATTGAGAGCTTTCGATGCCTGTACCATTTTTGCATTAGTATAATTGTGTGGCAAGTCCAATCATACTTCTATGCCCAGGGAAGTCGAGAAATTTTCCAACCCGAAAAATTCCTAGACCGGATCGGGAATGGGACCCAGCCACCTCCAGCATGGTCTTGCTTTGTAGCTGCGCCTTTACCGACTGAGCTAAGGGAGGCCCAATGAGAGCACACGACGATGAATTTCACTTGGAAACCTCAATGAGCTTTGCTGCAATTTCTTGCTTTTCTTTGACACTCCATTTAACTTTTTTAGTCATCGATCCGGTTCGCCATGCATTGAGTAATTTCCGCATTACTCCTAGTTCCAGTAAATGTAATGCATCGGCAACAATAACGTCTTCCACCATGTTAATCGGTAATTTTTTTTAACGGTGATACACCACGTTGATGATCTGGATATTTACCGTCACGGAATAGCTCATGAGTTCTCAGCTCCGCATCTCCTTTTGGAAACACCATGGCTCTCGTATCTGCAGAATATTTCCCCTTGATAGTGCATTGAATCCATGTTTCCCGTTTGAGTTTTCAACGCTTTTAATAAATGCTCAAATTTTCAATGAAATCCGGTGGTTATATATGAGTGCTCCAGAATCCAAAGTAGCAGTAGCTCTTGTATCATTGGCGACAAAAATTCATCAGCATCCACGGGTTTACTAGCTCCATAGTAAATTCCGATAGTCATTGGCTGAATTTGAGGAAGCTCATGAATAATGTAAACAATTGGCTCTTACTTTTTGTTTGTTATGGACTAATATTTTGTTTTGACAATGTGACTGAAACTGATCCTATGTACACATATATAAGAGCATCAACATTTTTAAAATAGAACGCGTTAAATAATTCCTTATTGACATCAAACGAACTCATATATAATATCGCAAAGAGGATTATAATTGAATCATAATTGGAATTGCATCTTATGCAACTTCAACTTGATTTGGATATTTATACGATTTTAAACGAACATCCTTATACGACTTGTGGTTTGCTGGGTACTCACGCTCGCTTGTTCCGTCTGCAAGAGCGTTTGAGACTACCTTCTCTAGAGCCGAATACCGTTGACGGGTTTCATTCCTCCTCTACGCTCCTCAATCTCCCGGCAGGTGTCATCAGTGATCCACTCTTTTCGACGAATTTCTCACTTTTCTCGATAAAGGCATTCTTGATGACGGTTCACTGTTCTTCTACTGTTCTTGCCACCTTCCGGAACATCCGAGGCTCGAGTCTCAGGTTCTTCAACGAACGATCTTTTCACAGCTTGATCTTCAAGTCGGCGTGTGTTGAATCGCCGTCCAAGCATCTCCTCCCTCCGCTGGGTCCGAGTAATGCGCAGGCAGATCTCCCCGATTAGAAGGTGATGGTCAAACGCGATGTCGGCGCTGTGTTTATTACGGACGTCAAGAAGGCTCCGTTTCCATTTTCGGCTGATGCTTACTTACACATTGCCCACCTACACTAACTCGTCGACAACCTCGATTTCGTCACCGTCAATCTGAACTTGTCTTCCCTAGAACCTCTTCCTTTCATGTATTTTGTCTTCGATGCGTTGATGGCAAGTCCAATCCGCCTAGTTTCAGCCTTCAGTCTGATGAACGTTTCCGCCATCGTCTCAAAGTTTCATGCCATGATGACGATGTCTTCGGCGAAGCCAAGAAGCTGGATGGACTTCTAACGCGATGTTGCATAGCAGACACGAAAGTCCATCACATTGCCGTAACCCCCTTCGAGATTTAAAGGGACTCGAGAGTGTCCCCGATACTCGAACACCGCACATCACTCGATCCATCGTCGCCTTGACCAATCGCGTCAGTTTATCCGTAATTCCGTACTCGTGCATAATTTGCCATAGCTGATCTCGAACGATTGTGGCGTATGCGGATTTGAAATCGATGAACAAATTATGTGTGGGCACGTTGTTTTCGAGGCATTTCTGCAGAACCTGCCGAATCGCTGGTCCGTGGTAGCGCATGCACCCATAAATCTCGCCTAGTATTGCCCTACGAACACTCTTGCAAATGGTGACAGGCGGCGGCATAGAATTTGGGAGAGTACCTTGTAGGTGGCGCTCAGCAGTGTGATCGCGCGGTAGTTGCAGCAATCCAACTTGTCGGCCTTCTTGTAGATTGGGCATACGACACCTCCTCCTCGCAAATCTTGGCAATCACCCAGTGCAGCGGGTGATAATGTTTTCCAGATTTCAGGATAACCAGAAGACGCCATATTGGATTTCAAAATGGCGTCGGACATCGATTTCCGGATTCTAGACGTAACCACGATTCCAAAAATACCCATATTGAAGGGTATTTGATAATGTTTCCCAGATTTTATTATAACCAGAAGCCGCCATCTTGGATTTCAAAATGGCGTCGGACATTGATTTCCGGTCTCTATACGTCACCACGATTCCGAAAATACCCATATTGAAGGGTATTTGATAATGTTTCCCAGATTTTAGGATACCCAGAAGGCCATCTTGGATTTCAAAATGGCGTCGGACATTGATTTCCGGTCTCTATACGTCACCACGATTCCGAAAATATCCATATGTTTTGTATAGTTTGTTGTACAAGTTTGGCAGATTCTTATCTGATACAAACCATTTTTCCCACTAGGCCAGGTTTTTCGGTATGCATGATAATATAAAATGATAGAGATGAAACAGTTTTCCAAAAATGTGATGGAGATACTATACGTCGTTTAATTGATAATGATAATATCACAAACGTTCTCTC